CTCACGCCCATTTCTTGTTGCAGGAAAGTGAACAAGTGCTACCGGGGCCGCTCCTGCCCCATCATCGTGCACTGCAGGTGGGTGGAGGAGGGTTCCTCTCTCTGGTCCCACTCCCTGTGTGTGTCTCCTGCGCACGTTGCCTGCCTGTCCCCTTGGTGCCAGCAAACTGCAGGCGCAGGCCAAATCCAGCACACCACCTGTTTTTAATGGCCAAGACCTAAGAATGGCGTTCACATTTTTAAATGGGTGAAGAAACAAGAAGAAAAGTATGTGACACAAACTGTATGTGGCCCACAAAGTTGGAAATATTTACCATTGTCCCCTGATGTACACAAAAAGTTTGCTGAAGGCTAGAGAGGCCCATCCAATCCCCTCCTGCTGGCTCCACCGCAGGGCTGAGCTGTGGCTCTCCTTTTTGGTTGTCCCATTGCTCAAGTGACACCCACAGGTCACAGACCGCCCTCTCAAGGCCCAAGTCCCAGCATGCAGGTGCTATGAGCTTTCCTTCATCCTCGGATCACTCACGCCCTCTCTGAGCCAACCCAAATGGGTCACCCAGTGTCCTCCCCCTTCCAGGCCTCCTCCATCCCTTCCCCTTTCTGCTGCATTGCAAGCTAAACCTGTCACTAACTCCTGTTTCAGTGATGGTGCAGGGAGGACTGGCACCTACATCCTCATCGACATGGTCCTGAACCGCATGGCAAAAGGTAGGGAGCTTCCCACGGTGCCCGCAGCCCCCAGGCCCTTTTTAGAAGCTCCCCAGCACACAGGGTCCTGGGAACTCAGAAGGAGCAGGTTGTCAACCTCCAGGCTCTGCCCAATCCTCCAAGACCTCCCAACAAGGAGGCCCCAGGCTTTCTGGGTCCTATCCTCCTCTGGACACCCCCTGAGCAGCCCCATCCCCCCAATCTTCAGGAGTGAAGGAGATCGACATCGCTGCCACCCTGGAGCATGTCCGTGACCAACGGCCTGGCCTTGTCCGCTCTAAGGTGACCGTGCCTTCCTGCCCCAACCCCAGCTGCCACCCTTCCCTAGCACCCACTTCTTAGCCACCCCAGGGAAAGCAGCAGCTTCCAACCTCTCCCACCTGCCTCTGCGTTTCCTCCCGGAGGACTCCCCTCCTCCCGGGGAACCTGCCTAGGGACCCCCACCCCCGCTGAAAGCCCCCCACCTCAAGGGCAGAGCAGAGACCAGGCCTTTCTGTGACCATCCTGCCTCTGCCCTTCCCTAGGACCAGTTTGAATTTGCCCTGACAGCCGTGGCAGAGGAGGTGAATGCCATCCTTAAGGCCCTGCCCCAGTGAGACCCTGGGGACCCTTGGTGGGCAGCCCAGCCTTTGTCCTTCTTTGCCTGTGTGAGCATCTCTGTGTACCCACTCCTCACTGCCCTACCGGCCACCTGTTGGGCATGCCCAGCCCTTCCTGGAAGAGTCAGGAAGGGGAAGCCAGAAGGGGCACACCTGCCCAGCCTCACGCATGCGGGAGCCCGGGGCATCCCAGAGCCCAGGGCGTCCCATGGGGGCTCTGCTGCCAGGAGGAGAGGAAAGGACGTGGGCAGCAATTCTACCCAGAGCCTTCTCCTGCCTATGTTCCCTGGCTTGGCTCTCCCATGGCTCTCCCATGGTTCTGGGAGCTCTCCCCATGTCTGTGTGTGCCCCACTATGCTCCAGCGTGGAAGAACGGGGTGGAGGGTCACCACACCCGGCTCCCCCTGCTTCTCAGCCCCGGGCCTGCCTCCTTGACTCACACTTGGGCGTTCTGCCCTCCCTGCCCTCATGCCCAGCCTCCTCCCACCGCTCTCCCACCATGTGCTGCTCAACCTCTCTCCTTCTGGCGCAAGAGAACATGTCTAGAAAAATCTACTTTTGTACCAATGTGAATAAAGTTAGTGTGTTTTCTGTGCAGCTGCAACCCAGACTCCTGCGAGTTTGTCTGCTGTGGTTCCCGACTCCAACCCCAGCCTCAGTCTGGAGCCGGTCCCTGCTGGTCTCTCAGAAAGTGCAGAGAGCACAGCAGGAGAGCGCCAGCTGCAGTCAGGCCCTCCTGGGCAGGAACATTTGCTTAGAACCACACGGCTTCCTATGTGGCCGGCAGTCTCCAAGGTGTTTTACATGATGAGCCCCATTTTATAGGGGGAAAGACTGAGGCACAGAACTTACTTGTGTAACACGTAACACAACTGGTAAGATTGTAAGGTGGCTGGGTGCAGCGGCTCACGCCTGTAATCCCAGCACTTTGGAAGGCCGAGGCAGGCAGATCACCTGAGGTCAGGAGTTCAAGACCAGCCTGGCTGACACGGCGAAACCCTGTCTCTATTAAAAATACAAAAAAATGAGCCATGCATGGTGGCATATGCCTGTAATCCCAGCTACTCGGGAGGCTGAGGCATGAGACTCACTTGAACTCAGGAGGTGGAGTTTGCAATGAGCCAAGATCGTGCTGCTGTACTCCAGCCTGGGTGACAGTGAGACTGTCTCAAAAAAAGAAAGAAAGAAAGAAAACGCTGTCAGGTGGAGTTAGAGTTTGCACCTGGCTGACTAACCTCCTCTCTATGCCTCTTCTCTCAGTTCTTTTTTTGTTTTGGGTCTTTTTTTTTAGAGACAGAGTCTCACTCTGTCACCCAGGCTGGAGTGCAGTAGCATGATCTCGGCTCACTGCAACGTCTACCTCCCAGGCTCCAGCAATTTTCCTGCCTCAGCCTCCGGAGTGGCTGGGATTACAGGCATGAGCCACCATGCCTGGCTAATTTTTTCTATTTTCAGTAGAGAAGGGGTTTTGCCATGTTGCCCAGGCTGGTCTGGAACTCCCGAGCTCGGACAATCTGCCCATCTCAGCCTCCCAAAGTGCTGGGATTACAGGTGTGAGCCACTGAGCCCGGCCTCCTCTCAGTTCTTCCCAGCTGCTTTGTGCCCTTCAGCTGCTGGATTGAGGTGAGGACTGAACAAGGGGATTCTAGCAAAGTGCCTGCCTCACCTTAAGCAAAACTCTGACAGTGGCCGGGCCTCTGAGATGCTAGGAAAGGCATTCCTCTGGAGGTAAAGGACACTTTCTGTCTCACCCCAGCTCCTACCCTGAATGGTCCCAGAAGGTACACTCACCTGTGTGTCACAAGATGTCCTTGGACAAAAGTGGTGGACATTAAGCCGAAAAGAGCCTTAGGCCTGGGGCTATTTGGGAGTTGGCCACTTACCTGTGCTGAGGCTTAGTCTCCTTAAATAAAAACAGGGCAAACACCATCTGCCCTGAGCAGGAGTGGAGGGACCAGCCAGCAGACCACAGGCCCTGCCGCTGTCTCACCCACGCTCTGCTGAGCTCAGCACCAGTGACAAGCATCTCAAAGGCTAGAAGTAGATGAAACAGCCATTTGCACTCAGGATGGAGGCTTGAAATTCCTCTTTGAGGGTAGGCTGCTTCTTTGCTTTGAGAAAAACATAATAGAGACCCTTTGGTGATTGGTGGGGAAGCAAGAGCCTATCCTGAATGGAAGAGAGGCCTGGGGAGCAACCTGACCCTGCTTGACAATGGAAAGGTGCTTGTCCCAGCATGGTGGCTGGAGATGAAAGGGAAGGGGTACCTGGGTTTTTCTTCCCTGGGCCCTGATGAGTTTGGGACCCGGGCCCTAGGTGGGCTGGACTCGTGCTGCTCCACCTCACTGGCTCATGCCTCAGGCTGAGCCAATAAAACCTGCCCAGAGGCTTAGTTTGTGGGCCTGGGCAAGGGTGGGGGACAGTTTCAAGGTTTTACCATGTGTTCTCAGCTTTCTGTGCTTTCAGTCCCCATGCTTTAAATCCTTTTTTTTTTTTTTTTTTTTCTTTTTTTGAGACGGTCTCACTCTGTTGCCCAGGCTGGAATGCAGTGCCTCAATCTTGGCTCTCTGCCTCCCAGGTTCAAGCAATTCTCCTGCCTCAGCATCCCTGCATAACTGGGATTACAGGCATGTACCAACACATCTGGCTTTTTTTTTTTTTTTTTTTTTTGCATGTTGGCCAGGGTGGTCTCAAACATCTGGCCTCAAGTGTTCCACCCTCCTCAGCCTCCCAAAGTGCTGAGATTATAGGCATGAGCCACCATGCCCAGCCTCAGTCAAGTCTTAACTGAGTATGGTCCTAGCTGTGTTGCGGAGTACTAGGGGGTGAGGCCCCACATAAGGGGAACATCGGCAGCTAGGGAAAGCCGGTGTGGACCCCCAGGAGGTGAAGGCAAAGAATGGAAGCATTGCTTGGGGTTCTACAACATACTTGGAGAGGGCAGCCTGGTCAAAGAGTGCACTTCTGCCTTCTACTGGCAAGCCCTGTACCTCTAGCTGAACAGGCATAAAGGGAGGTGTGAAGCCTGAAGTGTCACCCACTGTCCTTTAGGGGCTCTCCTGGGCTACCCTGGAAAGTAGGAACACAAGAACCCAACACACCACCGAGCTCTCAAAACAGTTTTATTGCCTTCCAGCATTTTCCCCTTAGTCTGAGCTCAGCCCAGCTGGCTTTGGTTTGTCTCTGAGACTCAGTGTTACAGAAGCTGGCTCCACCACTCCCCTCCCTGGCCATAGGGCTCCCCAGGCAGGGAGGAGGAGAGGCGGCTTGTCTGTGACGTTGGAAAGAATGGGCAGCAGGGTCAGAGGCCAAAGAAAGCCATACAAGCAGCGGCATGCCTGGAGCTGCCATCACACGCCAAGCCCCGCCACATACACGCACCCTCGGGTGGCCTTGCCCTCGAAGCTCTCTGCCAGCACATACTCCTCAGCTTTCTGGAGCCACGCCCTGCTCAGACAAACATGCTACTGGCCCTGGCTTGTTCCTGGGACCCCAGGCTGCCCACGGGAAGGGAACCTCTCCCAGGTGCTGCACGGCTCTGCCCTGCCCACTCTAACCCTGGGGCTAGCAAGATGTGTCAGAGGAACCAAGGCTCACATCATTCCCCCTTCATCTATGACCTTGCTGGCCCTCCAGGGATAAATCAAAAGACAAAATCTCCCCATCACACAGTGAGTGACAGGCCAACCTGGGCTACTACATGTCCCAAGATGCACAGCTCCATAACTAGGCACTAACTCCCCCAAGCAGGATCTATCAGAAATGGGGCCGGGTGCACTGCATTCTGGGATTTGTAGTCCCCAGGAGCCAGCACCAAACACCCAAGGAAGAGAGTGAACAGGCTAAGACTACTGCTGCCTCCCACCCAGCCCCCACCCACCACCCAGGCCCCGGCTCTACACTCAGCAAGGGTGAGGGAGAGGAATGGAGGGTCCCCTCCCAGCACATGGGGGAGGGCGCTGTCCTGTTGGAACTGTGCAGCGACTCTGGATCCCGGCATCCAGCTCAGAACACATCTGGGGAGAGAGCAGGGGCGGGGTGACAGGAGAGAGCATCAGCGGCAAGCTGTGGAGGATGGAGCCGAGCATGCAGACCTGGGCTGGCCGCACGGCCTCTCCCTAAGCCCTGATGTGTGGTGGGGAAGCAGTACGGGAGCAGTCCCCTCCTAGCCTCCCTCCTGGGTCCCCCTGGCTCTATCCCACCTCTCCAGGGTGAGCCAGCCTCACCTCTGCCTAGTCCTGAGGCTGAGGGCAGGCTGAGGCAGCAAGAGGAAAGGAGGAATAGCGGGCTCCAGTTCTGAATCTGGACAGCTGAGAGGCTCCCGCCCCACCCAGCTAGCCTCCCCAGAAGATCTCACAGCCCTACCGGCCCCAGCATCTTCCTTGCCACATTGAGGCCTTCTCGGGGAAGGAAGGAAGAAGGGAGTCCTAGCCAGACAGCAGTGAAAGCAAGCGACGCGGCCCGCAGGGAGTTGCAGAGAGAATGGGAGGAAGGAGAAGCAACACCAGAAGAGAAGCAACAGAGACGGTCAGAGTGCAGCATGGCACAGAAACCAGGGTGGGGTCTGCAGCTGGACCAGGAGAGCAGGAGGCTCCACTTGGCCTGTGCTGCTCCCCAGTGAAGCTGCTGGCTCCAGCTCAGACAACCCCAGGCCAAGTCCTCCTTCCTGGACACCATCAGCAAAACAGGTGGCAGAGGACCTGGGCACAAAAGGCCCAGCCCAAACTACTAATGCCCCTTGGAGCTCCCCATCCAATAAATGCAGTCCAGCTCCCCAGGCCCTTCCACTGCCCTGACAGCCCCCACCCTCGGCTTCACCAGGGACCTATCAGCCTTGGGCTGAGCACAGCAAATCCCAAGTCCACACTGGGGTGCAGGGCGACCTGGGAGGGAAACTTGTGGAGGGAGCATGAAGTTGAAAACCGGTTCCTACAACTCAGGATACTCCTCTCTGCTCTCCCCACAGTGAGCCAGACCCCCAGTCAAGACCTGGACCAAGTCAGGTTGGGCCTGGTGTTCAGAGGATGAGGCAGCGAGAGGCCTTCTCCTCTGGGGATGGGCTGCGTTTGGTGGCTTCACCCCTCACACCCTCCTGGGCTCCCCCTACGCCTGATTCTTGGTGCTGGGCCTTGGACCGCCCCTGTCGTCGGTGCTGTGCCTCCCGCCCACCTGCGGGTTTCTTCCCAGCTGCCTCCATCTCTGACAGGCTGTAGGCCATGGCCAGCTGCAGGTCCTCATCCTCAGAGAGGTCACTGTCCAAGGGGCCTGAAGCAGGGGTCTGCTGGACCTGAGTGCCTCCCGACCTGGAGGTGACTGACGGCTGCTGCTCGCGACGGCTCAGCTCCAAGCCCAGTGCCAGGTCATCTGGGACACCTGCAAGAGTCACACCACCATAAGGCCCCAGCCTAGGCCAGGGGTATTACTGCCAGGCTGCCTCATGCAGTAATGACCCTGACCACTTACAGTCTCTCATTTGGAATTGGCACGCATGCATTTAGGCACATAGGGTCATGATTTTGAGCACAGGGAAGTATTCAGCTCTACCAGGTAGAAGCTCCTCCCCTTGGCCAAGTTACTCAACATCCTTACTCCTCCCTTTCCTCA